AAGGGTTGAGTAACAGTCCTTATCTCTCAAGAACTTTATTTGTCATCAAATTTTCAAAAAGATAACTTTTCTTACCGTGTCAATACAGCTTTCTAAAAAAGGTCCTACTTGGGGATTTTAATTCAAACTTAAAACTGTGAAAAGAAACAAAGTCCTTTTCAGCATAAAAAAAGTACAGACAATGGAAAATACACAAATCTTGGGAATAAAAAGGAAATCTGTTTGGATGGCCTGCATGCGCGCACGCACACACGAAGTTTATTTTGAAGACATCAACACAAGATTAAATATTTCCTAAGACTAGCAGGGTGAGGAAGGCTCATGGTAAGGTTATCCCATTCCTCATAACTAGTGAAACTTGATTCTAGTAATTTAATGTGATCAAAATTTTCAATCCAAGATCCCGCACAGCTGAGACATGGTACACAAGGATACTAAATAACTTTCCAAACTGCCCGGCAACCTAACATCGGGCTCCTGGGTTTCAGACCTTGGCTTCCATCCTGTAACACATCACATCTCTTCTCATCTCATCCCCTCCCCTGCCCCCCTTTAGCGTCACTGAAGGAACCTTGCACCTGTCATTGAAGACGATTCCAAGCAAAAAAAATTATTTCTATTTCCTTTTAATGACAGAGAAAATAGAAAGGTTGACTGTTTATCCATGTGTGGAACCAAGACAAGGTCCAGGAAACAAATTCTGCCTCCTTGCTCCTTTCTCCACTATCTGAACTTACCAAAAGAAGAAGTGCTGGTAAGCAGAGTCACGGCTTCAATGAGCAGCCTTTGACAATGTTAGCAGGGCAAAGTGGAAAGCACTCCGAATTTGGAGCCAGGGGAGTTAGCTGGCAACGCCTGCCCTTCCACTAACTACTTCCAGGATCGTGGGCAAGTCACCTAATGTCCCCCTGGGCCTCAGTTTCCTCATCTCTGAACTAGATGACCTCTAAGGCCCTTCCAGCTCCACATCTAAGATCCTATGATTCTCTCAGCCCTGAGCTACATGAAGGCAATTTGTAGATTCAAAAGGAGATAGAATCATAATTCATTTTCGGAATAAGTTCTCTCAATGGTGGCAAAAAGTAATGAAAATAAAATGGCACAGTAAGCTCACTCTCTACATTAGCTAGCTTCCTGTGGCTCGCTGCTATGCAACATTCTTGGACCCCAAAATCTGGAATTCAAGTTGCTTCATCAAAAAGTTGTCCCAAGAATAAAACAAAAACAATATGCTCTCTCTCCTATCCCCACCCAATCCCACAAGCTTTGTTCTTATATCTTTCATTGAAAGAGAACAAAGTACAGGACAAGCCCAATAATAAGCCCTGGACCATAAAAAGCTGCTAATGGGGAAGAGTGAGTATATAAACTCTTTGAAGAATCAACAGCTCTGAGGGTATCACAGAAAGTAGAGACATGATAACTTGACAGAAAAAAAGTCGGTCTGTTCCTGAAAATGTAGTAAAAAAAAAATAGTGAAAACATGATGACAACATGATCCAGTATATAAAGTTCCAAGTATTTACAGTCCAGACACATAACAATGAACAAGTAGCCTTCAAAAGCTTTCATGCCCCTTAGAAAAACTCCTTTGTAGACCCTGGGCTGTGACGATCTTTTTTTTAAACTGTGGTTGGTTGACTGTTTTACAGGGATGACTCGGAGTTTTACAGAAGAAAAAAACTACCTTGTCTAAGTTTCGATAAGTTCCCCTTGCTCCCAGAGGGGTAACTTCCTCATTGACATGGGTTCTTGGAGCTTAGCTCTCTCTTAAGCTGAAGCCAGCACTCAGAAAACATATGCACCTGACCTCTAATGTAAAGGAGTGTCACCCTGAAAAAAGACTGAGGCAGGGAAAGGGTCATCTTCTTCACAGATGTGACTCTTCATAGAGACATAAATTCTACATAAAAGTCTCTCATGTTGGGGTTTAGAAGGGTTCACATAATTGATTTCAACAACCATCAGCAATCCCTGCAGGGAAGGTCTCCCAGGTCCATTCTGCAGTTTAGAGATGTCCTGCCTCACATGAAATCAGCAACCACACAGAAAGGGCAGTGTGGTTGGTTCAATGGGAGGCAGAGGACTTGGGTTCAAGCATGTTTTGCCTCATCTACACTCTCTCCGAGTCCATTTCCTCTGCTTTCCCAGCCTCTCCACCCCTTCAGTTGTTCCTCCTCACCCCCAGTATCCTCTCAGCCTGCTTGGCTACCCCAACACAACCCCCTGAGTTCTCTCAGCTCCACCTCCCTCAACAACTGGGCCCCCTTCCCTTTAGGGCTGCAGTCTCCTACCACTTCTTTTGGCTTGGTCACATAGCATTTCATGAGAGCAGCCCCATCTCTCCTCCTGGTGGCCGCTGCCCTCCAGTCTAATCGTGCCAAAGGGGGCTGCCCTTGCTTCTCTCAACTTGCTGGGCTCCCTTTCTGGGATTGCAGCCTCTTGTCCCCCTCCCACTGCACCTTGGCTCCCCTGACTTTTCAGCTGCCCTCCCCAAACTTGGTCCTCTTTCAGGGACTGTTGTCCTTTGAGCCCCCTCCAAACTTGGCTTCCTTCAGTGCTCTCAGTGCCCCCCCTTCCTGGTTCCCCTCAATTGTCTCAGGCCCGGACCTCCAGCTTGGCTCCCTTTCAAAGGAAGCAGCCCCCTCTGCACTCCCCCGGCTCCAGTCCTCAGCCCTCTCCTCCCCGCAGTTCTCTGAACTCCACCCTTGTAACTTGGCTCCCTTTCAGAGGAAGCAGCCCCTTTTTTTAGACTCCCTCAGTCCCCCCTCCCCTCAAGTCCCCCCAATTCCCTAGTCCCTCAGCCCCACCCCACCTTGGCTCCCCTCAGTTCTCTCCACCCCCCACCCCATCCCCGGCTCCTTTTCAGGGGAAGCAGCCCCTTGTTGCAGACTTCCCCCCTCCCTCAGTTCAGCTCTCCCCCAGCTGGCTCCCTTTCAGAGGAAGCTGGCCCTTCTGAGACCCCCCTTCATTTCTCTTAACCTCCCCTAACTTGGCTCCTCCTCACAATTTTCAACACCCCCAAATTTCCCCTCTCCAATTTCCCTTTCCTTTCAAAGGAAAGAGCTCCTTTTTAAGACCCTCTCAGTCCTTAGATCCCTTTTCAGTTTGATTTTGCTCCATTCTCAGAGTCTCGCCACAACCTTGGCTCCCCAAGGTTCTTTCAGACCCCCGCCTTAGTCCCCCACACTTCTCTGAGCTCTATCCTCCCAACTTAGCTCTCTTTCAAAGGAAGCAGCCCCCTTTTGTAGAACTCCCAGGCCTTGTTAACTTGGCTCAATCTCTGCAATCTGGCTCTCCTTCTGAGGAAGCACACCCCTTTCCTTAGACTCCCTCAATCCTTAGTCCTCCCCAACGCAAGTCTCTTCAATTCCCTCATCCTTTCTCCAACTGGCTCCCTTTCAGAGGAAGTAGCTCCTTTTTTTAGTCCCCCTAAGTCCTTAGCCCCCCAACTTCATTCCCTCATCCTTTTCCCACCCTAGCTCCCCCGATTTCTCAGCTCTACCCCCCAACTTGGCTCCCTTTCAGAGAAAGCAGTGCCTTGTTCCAGATCGCCCCTCAGTTCAGTTCTCTCAGCTCTTATCCCCAATTTGACTTTCTTTCAGAGGAAGCAGCTCCTTTTTTATGTCCCCCTCTGTCCTTAGCCTTCTAACTTCATTCCCTCATCCTTTTCCCATCCTAGCTCCCCCGATTTCTCAGCTCTACTCCCCAACTTGGCTTTCTTTCAGAGGAAGCAGCTTCTTTTTAAAGACTCCTTCAGTCCTTAGTCCCCTCACCCCCCCTTGAGTCCATCGTTTCCCTCAGCACCCCCCCCACCTTGGCTCCCTTTCAGAGAAAGCAGTCCCTTGTTTCAGATTTCCCCCCTCCTCAGTTCAGTTCTTTCAGCTCTTATCCTCAATTTGGCTCTCTTTCAGAGAAATGAGCCCCCTTTTTAGACCCCCTTGGTTCTCTAATGCCCTCAACTTGACTCCTCTGTCTTTTCTGCCCCCCCCAAATTCCTTCCCCTCAGTTCTCTCAGCTCTATCCCCCCAAACTTGGCTCCCTTTCAAAGGAAGCAAGCCTTCATTTTAGACTCTCTGATCTTTGTCACCCCCACACCTTGATTCCTCCCAGTTCTCAGTACCCCCTTCCCACTATGGTTCCCTTTCAAAGGAAGTGGTCCCTTTTTCTAACCCTCATTAACCATCTAACCATCATTCTAACTATGTTCTAACCATCTAAACCCCCCCTCCAACTTGGCTCCCTTTCAGAGGAAGAAGCCCCTTCATTTAGATTCCCTTAAACCTTTTTTAAATGCCCCGTCAACTTGACTGTCTTCAGTCTTTTCAGCCCCTTCACCTTGACCCTCCTCAGTCCTCTCAAACCCCCCCCCCCTCCCCTCCCCGCCTCCCCCCCCCCCCAACTTGATTCTCTTTCAGCCGCAGCAGCCCCTTCTTTTGGACTCCCTTGGTCTACTTCATCACACCCTCAGTCCTCTCATCCCAGCCTCCCCTTGGTCCTCTTTCAGAAACTGCAGTCCTCCCCCCCCATCCTGTCAGCCCATCCTCAAACTGGCTCTCCTCTCAGCTTCACTCCCCCCAACCTCCAACCATCAACTTGACTCTCTTTCAGAGGAAGCAGCCCCTTGTTTTGGACCCCTTTGGTCTACTTAACCTGTCCTGGGCCCCCTTCCCCAGTCCTCTTAGTGTCATCCTCCCTTTGGTCCTGTTTCAGAGATTGCAGTCCCCTCCTTCATTCTGTCAGCTCCTCCATCCTCTCAGTTCCCCCTTACCCTGGCTCCCCTCTCATTTGAGGGGGGTTCCCCCCAACATGGCTCCCTTTCAGGGGAAGTAACCCCTTGTTCTAGACCCCCTTGGCCCACTTCCCCCCCCTCCCTTCCCCGCCCTTTCCGCCCCGCCCCCCCCCCCGTTCTCTTTCATGGACTGCAGCACTCCGTCCTGTGAGCGCCCCCAAACCCATCTCGTCCCCCCCGTTTTCCCCGCCCCCCACCCCCAGCTTACACCGTGATGTGGCCCGTGCCGCGCACCGTCACCGGGTCTGGCGCCAGCCGCCGCAGGTGCTCCTCGCTCACCACCCGGCCCGGCGGCGGCAGCGGCTGCTGCAGCTCCAGATCGTCGCCGTCCTCGTTCCCCTCGTCCTCGTCGAAATCCTCGTCGAAGTCGTCGTCGAGGCCTGAGGACACGGCGGCCGCGTCGTCGTCGTCCTCCTCCTCCAGCTCGGAGATGGTGTCGAACTCCGCCATGTTGGGCAGCAGGATGCTCATCACGTGACCCGCGGCTCGCGCCGCCGCGGCCGCCGCAGCAGCCGCTCGGGACAGGGAGAAAAGGAGAAAAGCGAACGGAGACACAAGAGAGCGGCCGAGCGACCGGCCGACCGGCCGACCGGCCGAGCAAGAGCAACGAGTGCGGCACGTCCGCACGCCGGGACCGGGAGCTCGGACTGAAGGGACGCGGCCTTGGGGCCCGGCCAAAGGGCCGGCGAAAGCGCGCCTGCGCTCTCCGCCGGGGGCGGGGGCAGCACGTGGGGGGTCGGGGGGGGGGTGCCGAGGAGCGGTTCTACTGTACTCCTGCGCGCCCTGGGGGCCTGCAGAGGGAGGGGGCAGAGACATAGATGACCGCTAACGGTTCGTGCTAGTGCTCCGGACCTGCTAGAGCCCAGCTGCCGCCCCTCCCCCACCCCGACCTTTCCACTGTGTCCCGGGGGAAGGAGTTCGGACCACAGACCCCCCCACGACTGGGAAGAAGGGTCCCGCTCCCGCCCCCACCCCCTCAATTGACAGCAGGGGGAACTGAGACACAGATAAGGGAAGGGATTTAGGATTCAATTTCAGAGGGCATCTAATCCAACACCACCCCCAAACATTCCCGTTTTACAGATGGGGACACTGAGGCCCAGAGAAGAGAAAGGACTTAGGATTCATTTCAGCTCATAGGATGACAGTTCTAGAGCTGGGAGGGACTTTTTGAAGGGCATCTAATCTAACACCATCCCCACCACTCTCATTTCCCAGAAGGGGAAACAAGCTCAAAAAAGGGAGTAAACTTGCCCAAGGTCACAAAGGTAGTGGTGGAACTTGAAACCCAGATCAGAGGCTCCTGGGTCTCTCTAGAGGTAGAGGAGACCTCAGAAACCTTAGGGTCAAAACCCTCACTTTGCAGATGAAGGAGGAAGCTCAGAGGAGTCACTATGCTGTGCAGATGAGGAAACTGAGGCCCAGAGAACTCAAGTGGCTTTCAGCATAGCCCCACAAGTAGCAACTCTGAGAAGCAGGACTCAGCCCCAGATCTATCTATCCTTCATTTTAGTCCTGACTTTGTTACCATCCTACAGTTCAAGGTCATCCAAGCCAGTGCTTTCCTTTGACAGAAGAAGAAATGAGCTCATAAGTGACAGCTGGGTTTTGAGCCATGAACCTAGGTTCATAGGTAGGTTTAGGCTAGAAGGGTCCTCAGAGAATATTGAGATTCTAGATCAGCCCTCTAATTTTACAGATTAGGAAACAGACCCAGAGAATTTCAGTGACATCCCAAAGTCCTATTAGTAATGACATCTGTGGTTTCGAACCCAGGGTCTTTGACTGCAGAGCCAGTTCTTTTTCCATGGTGCTATACTGCCTCGCCAACAAGCCACTGCTGAGGCACTGGGAATAGAATAACAGAAACCAAATTCAGCTAGGCCTCAGTGCAAATAATGAATCTACTGATGTGGTCACATTAATTCCAATTCCCACTGCCTATTTCCCTTGGACTAGAACCAATTTCCATGTTTCATATAATTATAACTTCAAAATAGCACAAAGTCAAACGTGGGATCACTTCAGGTGATTTGTCCTTTGTTCTAATCAGGAGCTAGCTATCATCCCTATCTCTAATGAGCTTACATTCCAGTGGGTCATAGAATCCTAAGATCTTAGAGACCATCTAGTCCAACACTCTTATTTTACAATGGAAGAAGTTTAGTCCAAGATAGGTGAAGAGACTTATCCAAGGTCACATGGCTAGTAGATTGTTAAACAGGTCTTGAACCCAGGTGGCCTGATTGAAATCTAATGTTTGCCACAACACCATGCTACTCTCCTGTTGGTGACTCCATACAATTCACAAGGCCTGTTTCTGTTTGTGGCTTGGCATTTTCTCTTCCAGGATTTGCTCAGAACCAAGGGTCTGGGCATAGGGAGTCTGATGGAAACTGGGAAACCAAGCAGTGTAATACCTGAAGTCAAAGGACTTGGGTTTGTGACCCAGATGTGACCCTTACTGTGTGACCTTGAATAAGTCACTTCCTTCTCTCAGCTTCAATTGCCTCACCTGTAAAAGGGATCTATGCAGACCACCTTCCAGACAGGATTGTTGTGGGGAAAGCACCTTGGAAATCTCAGGCAACATATAAATGTCAGAGGATTCAGAGATAAGAAAGCTCTTAGAAATCATCTAATCTATGTATATATGTGTGTGTATATGTATCTATCCGTCTATATCAGTATCATCCATCTGTCTATATCACCTATCATCCATCCATCCATCCATCCATCTATCTATATCTATCAATATCTATCATCCATTACCCACCTATCTTTTTATATCACCTATCATTCATCTATCTACATCTATCTATATCACCTATCATCCGTCCATTGATAACTCTCTTTCATCTATCCATCTATCTATCTAGCATCTATCTATAGGGTTAAAGCTGAGAGAGAACTCAGAATACATGGGTTGTCAGGGATACAAAGCCCTTAGAAATCATCTACGCAAACCTACTCATTTTATGGAGGGGGGAAACTGAGGTTTCCCCCAAGGTCACAGGCTTAGTCTGGAGCAGAGCTGGAATTCCAGCTCAGCCTGACTCCAAAGCCAGTGTTCTTTCCCCTAGGCCACACTGCCCATTTTTAAACTGAGACTCTTTTCTAGTGGCACGAGAGACAGTGGCTTGCACTCATAAATTCCCAGAATGTCCTTGTTAATGCCCTCCCTTCCTGACTACCTTGCATTCACCTACTTGGTATTCGTTTGTATTTATTCTCCTCACAGTTACACTGTATGTATATTTATGTATGTCCTTGCAGTCTCCCCTATTAGAATATGGGCTCCTTGAGGGCAAGGAGTGTTCCTTTCTTTGGCCCTGCATCCCTAGGGCCTAGCACAGGGCCTGGCAGAGAGTCAACGATTAAAAAAACACTTGTCAGTTGATTGGTTGATTGATTATCAATTGCCCGGAATGGCTGGAGCAGCCATTCAGTTCCTAGTCCCAGCTCCTCGGTGATAATGGGGTATCCTGGGGACATAGGCTGTGTGGATGTCCTGGGGAATGGTGTGGAGCCAAGGCCGGGAGTGCAGATTGGAAAGAAAAGACAGATTTGGCAGCTCTGGCCTTGCCACACTCACATTTACTCATCCTGTCTCTGCTCAGTCACCTCCTCCTCTTGCTCCAGATTCCTTGCTTGGGGCAGCGGCCAGGTCCTGCACCATGACTCCTCTAAGTTTGTAGGGGAGACCGTGAAAATTCTCCCAGGCCTAGAGAACAGAGGCATCAAGGAAGGTTGGCATGGGGGGGGTGGCTTGGAAGAATTAAGATCCAAGGGAATTTTCCAAAGGCTGTGGGGAGTGGGGGAGAGGGAAGGAGGGAAGAAGATGAAGAGAAATTGTCATGTATCCAGAGTTCTGGATACGGATGCTGCAGAGGTCAGACAATTCTGACAAGTAGGCCAAAATCTGGCCCCTTAAAACTGTGGAAGAGCAGCCTGATGTCATGGTGAAAACATCAGCTCCAGGGGCCTTGGTCCAGAGACTGGCTCATGCCTTTCATTGTCCATGTGACCTTGGGAAAGTCCCTTCCCCCTCTGGGCCTCAGTAAAACAAAGGCATTGGACTTGATGCCCCTAAATCCTGGGATTCAGAAAACTGGGGTTTTCATCCCAGTTCTGACACTTGCCAGCTGGATGATTATGGAAGTCACTCCGTCTCAGTTTCCTCCTCTATGACATAGGGGCAATGATGCCTATGCTAGCCCCCTTGTGGGGTGATAAGGATCAAATGAAATAATGGAGTAGTGTAGTGGAGATGGTGCTGGGCTGAAAAGAACCTTTGAAGATAATTCATCTGACACCATCATTTTAGCAATGAAGAAACTGGGGCTCAGAACAATTAAGTGATTGGCCCAAGATCACAGAGATAGCAACAGAGGGGGCATTTGAACCCTCAGACTCCCAGATCCTATGCTCTTTTCCAGTGTCCCATATGGCCTCTGGGTTTGAATTCTGCCTCCTCCTAGCTTCTTGACTCTGTGGGAGTTACTTGGCATCACTTTTCTCTGTAAATGAGGAATGGTAAGACCAATGCTGTCATCCCAGCATCCCAGGGGTGCTTCTGGTGTTTCATGAACCCTAAATTGCTTGAGAAAAGGGAGTGAGCAGGGTAGCTAGGTGGCACAGTGGATAGAGCTCTGGCCTTGGAGTCAGGAAGACCTGAGTTCAAATCTGGCCTCAGACACTTGACACTAACTGTGTGACCCTGGGCAAGTCACTTAACCCTGATTACCTCACCAAAAAAAAAAAAAAGAAAAAGAAAAGATAAAGAAAGAAAGAAAAGGGAGCGGGGATTCCCTAGAGATGCTAAAGGACAACCAGACACATTTAGAAGCTGGAGAGCCCTGCATGCATAGTCAAATCTGCACATCTGTCTCCATGCATATATATTGTGCTAAAACAACTTGTTTGGTTCCAAAGGTAACTAGCTTATGTGAACCATGGGAACATCTGGTATTAGGCAACCATTACCTCATTTTCCCCAACAAAGTAAAACATCCTGGTATCCGAATGATCCCTGTGGAAGACATAGAGCACAAACAACCAGCAGGGGAAAAAAAGGGGGGGTCCTAACCACTTCCCCATCAGGCTGAGCTAAGCAGGGGATGAGCATTGTTTGCCTGTTGGGTAGATGGGATATGATACCAATGAGACAATAAGAGATGCTCTCCAGGTGAGATGAAAGTCAATTTAGGGCTCTGAAGTAATGTCTATTCATTAATCTGCGTGATCTTCTAAAGGGCCAGGAGTGGGTAAGGCTTTCCAGGTAATTCAGGGAGGGCTTCCCATAGGATGTGGAAGTTATGGGCTTCCTCCTTCCTGGAGTGATCATGAGAGACAGACTGAAGGAAGCCTTAAGAATGATCTCTCTGAAAGAACTATGGAGTTTGAATGCAGATCGAAGCATACTATTTGTTCTTTTGTTTTTTTCTTCTCTTCTGTTTCGTTTCTTCTTT